TGCTGTGGTTTAAGACCTCTGGAGAGATTATTTTAGGATAGCGTGGTCAGTGTAATTAAAAACAAATTGTTTCAATCGAATACGGTTAGAATTTTGTGAAAGACCAGGCAGTGTGTTCTCATCCTGTGTTACAGCCTACAGAGATTACCCCCTTCATACAAACAAATTATACTTCTTTACTATATAAATTATGCTTATGTCCATTGAATTACATCACTTAATTTTTCTACTCTCTTTAAAATATCTTCTGTATTTACATTGGTTTTACACCAAACGTTTTTATTTAGTCCTGACAAAATGATCTAGTTAGTACTTTTAAAATGTCTCCATACCTATTTTTATAATAAGGACAAAATTTTTAAAAATCACTTATTACTTTGTAGGCATATTTTTTTTTGTTTTTAAAAGGTGAAACGTGAACAAATAGAATTCAAATTTAACACATATTACAACATTTATAACTAATAACCATTATAATAATAAATAACTAGAGATGATAAGCAAATACAAAACTGTTGAAACTTGTTAGGGAGTCCCGGTTCTCAATCATCCGGTTATTTGTTCATTTAATATTATATGCGAACATTATTAGTAATTAATCTACCTATTGAATTTTATTTGCATTTACCTAACGGTAGATTTGACCAAAGCCACAGGTTTTCTTTATAGTTTCTTTATAGTTATTCAAATTGAATTATTCATCAAGGTGCAACAAGACGTAGCGACTTTTTAGTGTACAGCAGCACATGATGTTATGGCATTTATTTTTTGGTTAAAGTTAACTAAAAAATTATTTAAATATTGAAAATCTATTACAATAAGTGTTTAATACTCTTTCAACTAATAATGTAAGTATAATTACGCATATGCTCAATTTTATACTTCAGTCAGGCCTGGAAATATAGTAGTGTGAGCTTCAGTTCCGGATCTAAGTCTCAGGAGGCCAGCTGCAACTACCAATAAGAGGTTACTTAAAAAAAAAAAAATGTGGTCGACTTAATACTTATCTATTTATTTTTATTTATTTTTTAAAATATATTAAACAAACTAAAATACATTTAAGTACCTTAATTAATAGATACATTATGAAATTATACATTCACTTATTATTCTCATACTTATTATACCTCTTAGATATGATGTATGCTTCTATTCTAKTAAAATATAAATTAAGTATAAATATCATTAATATGATAATGACTGTATTCTCTACTTGTCCTAGAATGAAAGGACACAAATATGAAATGTTAAAAATAAATCATATATAAATAAACATTTAACAATATTATGAATGGTTTTTAATTTTTGAATTCTGAAAAATATTTTTAAAAAATCTTCTTGATATTATATTAGCAAAATTGGAACATTTTTACTTCACTGAACACCCTTTTTTGTGGGGGTTTTACAGGGGACAGATATTTTTAGGTAAAAAAAAATATTGGCAAAATCAGAGTTAGGGGCACTAAGATAGTTTTAAAGTTGAAGCTAATCGAAATTTTCTCTTTATATTATAGCCCTTAAATACCCATTATACGATTGATATTGATGAATTATTGTACAGTGGTGAGTACACTTTAACTTTGACCGCTTATAAAGTGTTCGATCCCCCCAATTCTCAACGAATCTTTTTTTTCTTTTTGTAAATTATGATCTCAATAATTCTGATTTAGCTTCCTAGTGCATTTTTTAAAGTATGTGGTTTAACGCCTTTTTTCTGAGGATTATTATTTTTTGCCTATATATTAAAAAAACAATATTATAACCAAGGGTGATCGCTACGCATCCTCTGGCATTTATTTTTGTAGAAAAACATTTCCTCCAATTATTGTTTGAGAACTAAATGTACAAATGTTACAATCATGTGTGTAAACTGTACCTATACTATAATAAAAATATATTCTTATAATTTTATAATTGTATATCACATATCCATTTAATTTCAGAATTTTAAATTATAATACTATTGTGTAATAAGTCTACTGATTTAAACATATAAATTATTATACAAAAATACAAGTATAGGTCAAATATAGTCTTAATTCTTAATGTTTATAAGAATTCTTAAATAATCATATAATTAAAAGAAATAGTTTTGATAAAAGTGTATCTACTAATTTCTTTGGAATTTTTTTCAGTAATTTTTAACTGGTGTAATGTTTTCTGCTATCCGGAATGTTTTTATAATATATTATATTACTATATTTTATTCAATCCTCAACAAATATTGCTTAAAAATTATAATTGTCTGTTTTCAAACTTTTTTAGTGGAAAAGGGCTATGGCGGAGACAGCCAATATTATTTTGGCCGAAACGTGTAAATCAATGGAAGTTGCTAAAACGTCGGGCAACGGTTAGTTTCTCACTCAGATGGGTCATGCCTTAAGGTTGCCACACACTGCAGCGGTAGCGGTTATGACAAAATGAAGCGGGACATAATTTTACCGCCACCGCTGCAATGTATGGCGACCTTTATAGTGATGGCCACGACTATTCTATAGAGCAGTGGTTCTCAACCCAGTTTGCCTAGAAAAAGTCTGATTTTTATAATTATGCTGTGTAAAAAATATTGAAAACTGTACTTTATTATTTAATTACATTTATGTTGAGTGTGCCACGAATATTTGAAATGTTTAATATTGTGAATCGAAAAAGTTTGAGAACCACTGGACACTGCTATAGAGTAGTGTCCTTAACACAAAAACAGTGGCCAGTATCTGTCAAGAACCCAACGGTCGCTATATAGTACCTATTTAGTAGGTATCAAACTTATTTCTGAAAATCTCAACAGGTCCCTAATACACAACGTACAGAATCAGCTTATATACAATATCCTTGTTATTTAAAAGAATGATTTAATATTAGGATCACATTCATTTTTATTAATAACACTCAATATTGTGTTAAGTGTAACTGCAAATTATGAGAGAATCAAATAAAAACATTAACCTTGAACAAAAAAGTTTACACCTTTATAAAGGGTTTAAAGATAACATTGAGAAACAAAACTATTTGAAAGATAACATAATAATCATTAATAAATTTATACAGAATTTATATAAAATGTTTATATTATTATTTTCATGGTGTTCAGTGATATGACATGTCTTTAACCTAACCTTAATAAAATGTGTTTGAGACGTTTAAGTATTGGACTCTTATAATAATACTACAGAGAGATTATTCAATATAGATTGATAATTCAAAATTTAAATCACATAAACTTTTAAGCCAAGCCTATTTCAATATTAATGTGAATAAAAAAAAAACACAAATCAACCATTTTCTTATATATTGGCCAAAGATCTTCTGATCAATATACATTTATTAGTACCTATGTCAAATAAAAAAGTTATCAGTCACTACCTACATTACATAACCTAATACTATTATGTAAATATTAATAATATTCTTTGTATCTAATTGCTTTCTTACTTATTCACACTTGGCAATCAAGAACACTGATAAACATGAAATCATATGGAAAAAAAAATATAATATAGATATTATTAAACATATGAGATTTTCTCTTGTCTTACTGACAACCATTTGGTTAGAAATAAGATAAAAAAAGATGAAAGTCAAGTACATCACACAAGTGAGAGAGTGCCTTTTATCGAGGGTACTATTTAACCTGTAACACACTTTAACTACCTATCTACTTATTTAATTTGTAAGAAATACTATTAGTTATATTAATAATTGTATTTAAAATTTTAAAATCTTATTCATAGCTTAAAGCCAAGTAACTACATTATTCATCTATTTTTAATGATACATTGTTTGACTCTCTATATACCAAAAAAATTCTAGGGCTAATAGCTAATCCTGTACAGTTAAAGTGAACTAGTTCAAAATAATTCACAACTTCATCTGCTCTGGATTGATAGTTTAAAACTTTTAAATTCCATGAAATGTATTAAACAAAAAGAAGAAAATGTTTTGCACAAACTATTGGTAATTTTTAAGTCCCTATTTATTTATTTTTAATCTTACTAAACATTTGATCAATTAAATTTCATGTTTTTAAGTAGGTATATGTAATCTGCAATTGCATGTATAAGTTTTTTAAATTGTTTTGTATATTGATTAAAAATGGTTCTATTCTGCTTTGATGAACTATTTTATTCGAGTTCGTCTTGAAAATGTACATGGATGTGTACTTTAGAAGCAAAATTTATTGAAGCAAATAAACAATTATATTGTAAATCCTACTTGTATTACATTTGCTTTAGTTTATAACGTATACATTAATCTTAGTCATCCATCGTGTTATGTGTTCAATGTTTATGGCATGTAGCTTGTAGATGAACACAGAAAGAAAAACAAGAAACTACCTATGTATAAATTATTTAAGTTTTATGGTCAATGTGTGATGAGAAAGAATTTAATATGGCTTTAACGTAATTTTACAATGAATTAATAAATGACCCAAACACTAGAGACTTTGGTATACATTTTGATGGCAAGTATGGAGACAAAGTTAACTTATTTTACGCTAAACAAAAATGGTCTAGCAGTCTAGGAGTAAATTTCAATATGCATATAGAATTTATGCACAAAACAATTAAATATCACATACTATTCAAATTGTTATAAAGTTAGACAGTTAAATAAAAGTGTAATAACTGTTATAAGATATACCCATGACAAAAAATGGAAAAGATAATTAGATTAACTAAGTAATATATAATAAGTATCCAAAAAATAAAAAAAGACAACATGAAAGTACATTATTCAACCTGCCAATTAACCAGAGTGCTGTAACAACTAGTGTTTAAAGTGAATATACACCAAATCAATTTAAAAAAAAAAAAAAATAAACTGTTATGATTCGTGTTGTTCATTGATATGCTCTACTTATAAATTGAGTTAAAATTTTCATGTCCTAATTACTAAATTAAGTCTATAATATATACAAACATATTGTTATATCTAAAAATATGATATTAACATTATTTATCAATTTATAATTGTCTTATTTCAACTATTACAGATACTATAAATCTCATTTTGGACGTTTCTGCAAACAATAGCATTGATGATGAAATACAATTTCATATTAAGAGATGAGGAAGTGAAAAACTGTAAATATGCAAGAATAATTTAAAAAACAAGCCATTAGCATAACCAAACAAACTATTAAGTAAACAATTAAAAACATAGAACATTTTAAAGAAGACTTAAACAAAATACCTATATCATAACATCCTACGCCTATCTCTACAGACAACAATGGAAAAATATCTTATCTACTTATTTGAATTTTGATAACAGCCTAACGTAATGATAATGGAGGAAAAAAGTATGCAGTGCATGCTCCAGACCTCTTTCGAGGTACGTGTTATGTTTTTTTGTCGAGTTAAGGTGTTGGTAATCATAATTAATAATTATCAATTATCAATATTATCGACTAACCGTCTGATTATATCTTCCATAAAACATTTTGAAATCATGTATAAGGTGTAACGTCTGAATAATATTATCAATAACGTATTTGGTGGAATATTGAATTTATTGGCCATTTCACATTGTTTACCATAATCTTTTTCAATCAACTGTATTAAATGAACTTTGGCCGAAATTGAAAGGATAATATTTAATTTACACTTCTTTTTCATTTCACTACAAACGGCTACATTCACGAGTACCAACGAGCGAAATCTAAATCACTAGGTATATTGAATGTACTGCAACATTTTCTGTTCTTAGTTTCTTACCATAAAATAAATTTTTTCGTGTAGGTACTCGAGATTACGAAAAACGATTAATTTTATATCGAGCTATCGAAATACAAAAATGCTATTAAGAGGACGTAATATCTGCCTCAGATGTGCGTAACATAGCAAATTGTATGCTCAGCAGATCCGCTTAGCTCAGTTAGTTTAAATATTAGAGTTATAAGTATTTTAAGATGTAAATACACACAATTTACAATTTTAAAATACTTATAACTTGCTTCAAAATTAAAATTTAATACAAAACCGATGAGGTTGTCTAAATAATACTCTTAGGTACCTTTAAATTTTATAACAGATCAATTTACTCTAGGTTTTAAACTAACGGAGCTAAACAAGATCTGTTGAGCTTAAAATTTGCCGTTATGTTACGCACTTGTAAGACGGAGACAATACATGCGGGTACAGGGGCGGATCCAGCCAAAAATAACGGGGGAGGGCAGTAGTATTTCATAGACGTAAATATAGTGGCTGTTTCCAAAAATGAATAATTAATATACACAATAAATTTTACATGAATATTAGAGATAGGGGGCGATCGGGGCGATCGCCCCC